TTCAAAACGGCCAGCTTCCTGTTCTGCACTCTAAACCTACTCTAAATAATCCTGCTTATCTTTGCACAATTAACCCAAACACTCCTTTTGATTTTCAGTCCTGAAATTCTTCTATTAAATACTTCATAACCTACAAATTCTTCGGATACATTGACAGACGAAAAAAAAGCACTTTCATTTTTCAACATCTGAACTACTATGATTTATGACATTTTTTATTTGGTTTGCTGTTCCCCATTTTTTAAGTAGTCTGTAGAAGTATAGGAATCCATTCTTTCAACTATGTAGTGTATAAATATCTGAAATGAAGTACACTAATTGGCCTGCTGTGTACCACGAAATAGAACTAGTAATACAAATAATAAAGTTGTAAAAAATATCTTATTATGCTTCATATAAACACTTTCAACTTTATATAAACACAGTCAGGTACCAGGTAGCCATATTGCTGACAAATTGCACAATAACCATGAAACGTATTAAGTTCTACCTTTTTTTCAGTTTTTTTCTAATCATTAAACAGAGGTTAGAGTTTGTTCATCTTGAAATTCAGAACATTATTCTATACATGTGGAGCTATAACCTTTTTTTCCATATGGTGTCATATTTATTTCCACAAAGGAAAAGTGATGACAGAAATTTTTTAACAAAAAGTTTCCAAAAAATATGTATTAAAACAACAGTAGATTTCCCATTAAGAAAAGAATTTAGTACCTCATTTTTCAGCCAGCTGAAGGGGTGCCGAGAAAATACTGGCTTTAGAAAAGATACATTTTTTTTTCCAGCCAAAACCCTTCAGAGAAGTTCAATAAGAACAATTTCCATTCAGGAATTCCATCTTTTGTAAGCCAGGTGTCAAGACTGACAAGCCTTTGGACTGTTTAGTCTTATCAAACCTAATAAAACAATCGTACATAACCACTAGGAAGCAGCTTGCTTCTCTTTTTCCTCACTGCATCACTTTTAAGTTCAACTCAGTTTATGAAAAACCAGTTTTGCATTCTTGGACATCTTGTTCGGATTTCTGAAGATTTTTCTTCAAAGTATGTCAATATCAGGAACTGTTCAAATACACACATACAGTAAGATGTACATTTGGCCGGCTAGGTATTGAATTTAAACCATGAGACATGAAATATAAATGGTATTCTTTCAGGAGAATAAATTCAGTGGCAAAAATATTTTAGTCCTGGCTTATTGACAGTTTACAGGAGTCAGAAGATGCTGACTGGTATTGCTTTATGTGAAATGTTAGAAATTCAGTATGGAAACAAGGTTGGCAGATTGTCTCTTTACGGCATGATTCAGTTTTGTGATGGGATGCCTTCACTTGCAGAGCTTTGAGCTGAAATTATGCTTATTGCCTTTATTCCCAGGTTGCTCCTCAGCAAAAGCAATGTGAAGGAGAGTATTTCCTATGTCATGTATTTTAAGGATCACATGCAAATGATAGAGTGTAGACCAATTCCTTAGCTTTAAAACATTTGATTAAAGTCTCTTTTGAACTTTTTCACCAATACAGTGAATAAGAAAAAATTCATTTTCCCATGAGGAATTTTGAAGTATTGCTTTAGCACAAGATAAAGCATGATGTAGACTGTGCATTTCGTTATCCTCTCTTGGTTACATTCTCCTGATTTAAGAGAGGAGAACCAAGTCACTCCTTCAGAGACCAATGCTGGAATGGCTGTAGAGGATTGTAATGATTCTGGAATTTAAGAATCCCTGGCCTTGGCTTGGGATTTAGCTCAGCAGCACAAGCAGCTGCTTGGCCCACACGAGGTTGTGAGTTTGATTCCTGGGAACAATCCCCTGCCTTCAAGGAGAAAAGTAGCTATATTAATCAAGTGACATATTATGGAAGAGGAGATTTTGTTCATGTTGCTACCAGCCAGACCTGAGGTCCTCAACCAGTCCTCCTCTTAGGTAAGGGGAGGTATAAATTGTGACTTATTTACAAATCACTGGGTCCATTGATTTTTTATGAATATAAAATATAATTCAAAATGTAAATATTCTGTTGATTTAAGAGCAAGTCCTTGACCTCTCACAGTTTTAGTACATAAGAGCATGATTTATTCTCCTCTATCAGAATCCTTCTCTCTCAGTAACTGACCAGATACATCAGTTCCTTCCTAAATGTTTGGTCCTTTTGCTTTAACTTTTTCTTTGGTAATTGGAGTCTGGTCCTAGTACTTGTCACTGGATCCAGATCATTTATTGCTGATCTTCAGACTATCCAGTTGTCAATTTCCTCCAAGCCTCAACAGTGACAGCCACGCCGTTGGAGTTACAGCTAGTAATTAACAGAACAGCTAATCTCTTAACCCTGGACATTTGCATTGCAAGATAATATACTAGAACATCAGCTGTTACATTCTCCACAGTGAAAATTTAAAAATTGCTTATTTTATGAATTGCAATGTGAAAGTAGAATTTGTCTCTGTCTCTGGAGTGTCTTCCCCACCACTCTATCCTTTGCAAACTAAAAGGTCCTGAGCCAGATACCTCTGATCCACTTTGAATCCACAGGTCTAATTGTCCTGTCGTAATTCCTTCCAATCTGAGCCCAGAGCTTTATTCTAGCACCTGACAACTTCATTTTAGAGCTTTAGCAGCATTTTTAAAATGTCAAAGACATAACAGAGAACTTAACAGTTGCAGAAATTGCTAGCAGAGCAAAGAAAACAAGTAATAAACTAGGGCAAAAGAGAGCAAAAAAATATGCCTTTTGCGACCCCCAAAATGCATCAAATCCACAGAACAACTCAGGTTGACTTGGTTATGGTTCCACAGAGTAACACAGACAAGGGAAAACAGTTAGCTGAAAATTGCTTATGCTGGATTAAAAAGTATATAACCTGTATCAGCTTGTTCAATATCATTTTAATGTGTCTATATACTTTTTCTATGCCAAACTCCTAGCAGTTAGTACTCTTATATCTGAAGATGCATGAATATTCCTAGTTTCATAATATTGTCTTCTGTACTTAAGGAAGTAAGGAAATATGACATAGTATGTATTATATTGATTTTTCTCTTATCATTGTTAAAGGTAAAATTAACACATTCATAAATTAATGAACATTCACAAATTTAACACATTTCATAATTTGGTTTTATCAATAAAAGATAAGGAATGTGTGGCTAATATTCACTACTCCACTGAAAGGTTAACTCTGAATACAAAGGCATTAATTGTAAATGAGAATAAAACATTTAAGTACTGAAGTCGAGAACAATTTATTGATCTATGGTAAACTTTTGTGGTTGTTGTTTTGTTTTTTGGGTTATTTTGGTTTTGGTTTTGTTATTTTAGTACCAGGAATGGAACTTGACCTTGCGCTTGCCAGGCAGGCTCTGTGCCACTGAACTATATCCCCAGCCCTTCGGTAACCTTTTATATTTTTCAAATAATGCATTCAGTACAACTTGATAATAGAGAAAATGGTCAAGTTACAACTGCAAATACTTTTGGAATGTAGCAAAAACTTATAAACAGGTATCTATAGAGTCAGTAAATAATTTCTAAATGATAACTTTGTATGGTGGTAAATGAAATTTATGTAGCTTATAAAACTCAGCAGTTTATTTCCCTTCCTGAATAAATATTCTCGAATCTCAAAGATTATGTACTAGATTTCTTTTAGCGATTATAAAACTATATATCTATATCTGTATGAAGAGAGGGGGAGAGAGATAGGTTTAAAGAAAAGATAAATATTTTGGTGGAAATGTACAGTATTAGTTACTATCTGATTAAATAAGATCTACCAGAAAATAGTAGGAAGAATTTGAAATTGGAATAGTTCTTATCAACATACTTTTGCTGTGAGTTTCAATCAAAAATATATTGTTAGTTCTTGTCTAAAATATCTAGGTTTTCACTAACCGATTTTAATTGGTATTTCCATACAGAATTAAAAATCACGGTGGGTAAATAAATATGTAAAGCACCTTCTAAAATGTGTGACATCTGCATAACTTACTTCAATGTTTATTTTACCCTTACTCCTATTCATTTTATTTTTTAATCATATAGTTCCTCAATTCCCTAATTCTTCCTATTTTTTGACACTTTCAAATATCAGACTTTCTCTTGCATTATATTTAATGAGGATCACGGTTTTGTCCTGAGGAGGTGTTATATGAGACTCAATTATTTGCCACCTAAAATAGCTTCTTTCTAATTCCTAGTCATTGTCTAAATCAAGGTAGGATATTACACTGTCACGTGGGTCATAGTGAAACACAAAGGATGAATATTGCTAATTAGATGCATATAAAAATAACTGCTGATATCTATTCACCTACCTGCACACAAGTCACCTATGCCTTTCAACATTTCTAGAGGTCTTTTTGCACATGCAATTTTACAATACCATTAGGTTTCACATATAGAATCTTAAAGAAAATATGAATACAATTCATGAAAACTTACAATAATAAGCATAAAATGTTTTCAGCAAATTTGAAATTATATTTTAACAGCTCCCAAAAAGGCAAATTGATAATCTCAGAATCAGTATTCAACTAGAAAATTTGCATACCTGCTACCCACATATTGAGTATCTAATCCTAAAATGTTTGAAATTATTTCTCCTTTTATTTGTAGTTTCCCATACTATATAATACATAGAATCATATTTAAAGATTAAGACAGGTTTCATAAATGTTGCATACGTTATACATTTTTACTCTGTCTGCATATGTGTATGTTTGTATTTAAATATATACACATATTTTGTAGCATAGTTATCTGAATTATTCTCTTCTAACTTCTTGCACTTCAAAACTTATGTTTTAAACAAGTTTAAATAATTCAAATTTCTTGTTCTAAATAAGATTATACTTATCTTTTTTGTTGAAATTTAGAGAAATGTTCTTCAGTTTCCTCATGTTAAGTCAACTTCATGATAATCTCATTTTTAAACCAGCATCTCTTCTATAAATCATCATTCCAGATGGCATTCCATTGTTTGAAAATTGATGCCACTCACCTTCTTTTAGGAAAAGATTGTATTTAATAGGAAGTCTGCGCAGTGTTTTTCTACAAGAAGGGAGAGAGGGTGTAGCCTGAGGAACAATATTAGCTTTTGTAATTGAATTGTTCTTCTGTGAATTACTTCCTAAAAACTGATGTAAGCAAATAACTCTTCCAAGTCTCTAAGAACTGCTTTACAACAGGAAATATCTCAACAATTTGCTGAAAATATTTGCACTTCTTCACAGAATAAAAAGTAATTAGTATCTTTTCTCCTTTAAAAAAAAGTCATCACACATGGCCTGTGTCACCCAGTGCATACCCTCGTCACATGCATGGTCTAAGAAATGCGTACGCACTGCTGAAAAAGAAATGTCTCTTTTTTTTTCCTTCACAATATGCATGTCTTTAAGTGAGTTAAACCTGAAGGTCATTGGAAGCAGAGGAAGGCTTTTATTTTATTTATTATGATCATCTCAGCGCCTAGCTAAGGGCCCAGCACAGACTAAACGCTTGATAAATATTTACCAAATGCATGAATGAACACTGTTTAGAGTTCACTTGCTGACTGGAATAAATAAAAAAGCCTGGGCAAATGTTCTCCCTTTCTGCCTGTTCATTGCATCATCCACATAGATTAGAGAGGCCACAAGCACATGTCAGTGTCTGTATAGATGACAAGGTTAGGAATTGCCTCTGTTGCTTCTCAAAAGGATTAGAAGAGGGAACAGAGGCTCTTGGAACACATGGGAGGGGGGAAAAAATCACACAGGACTGAGAACCACAGAAGAAACCTCTCTTTTTTGTAGTCCAGATTATCACTGGCAATGCAAAATGAGTTTACCTTTCTGGATATCTTCCCACTTCTGTTAGATGAAAGAGACGTTTGAGGTGTCTTTGAGATATTGTGTTCTAAAATCTCAATGACCAGCAATACCAAGGGGCGGGGAAACATGCTGGCAATTGCTTGCAAGTGTGGTAAACTGCTGGTCAGATTTGTGAAAACACCACACCCACTCTGTAAAAAAATGTCTGGTGGTTTCTTATAAACTTCACCATTCATCTACCACATGACCCAGCAATGCCACTCAAGCATATAGACAGAGGAATGAAAAGGCATTCGTACAAAAGTGCAATCATAGGTATATTAATATATTGTTTGCAATTACTAAAAATTAAAGGCAAACTAGATGCCCTATAACCAATGAACATATGCACAGACCATGGTACATATCTCCAATGCAGTATTAATAATAATAGGGAACACATTACTGTATCCAACAACATAGATGAATCCTAAATGTAATTTGCTTAGTGAAACAGCCTACATACAATACCCCATGTATTGTATGATTTTGTTTCTAGACTGTGACTAGAAAAGATAGAACCTGGTATTCAAAAACAGGATATGGATCTATTTTAATGAAGAAATGACCCTATACATTATCACAGCCATATATACGATTGTAATTCAGAGGATGGTTCAGAAACAGCGATTTGGCCACATCTAACCATAAAGTCTGGAGGTGATATCAACAGCGCTTTTATTACTATAGAAGAAGAGAAGGAAAGTTCTGAAGCCTGGCTACCAGTCTCTGATGCAAATGCAGAGAGTATTTTAGGAGATACTCAACTTCATACTTATTTAGATAGCAAAGCTCCTTAGATACCTATGAAGAGTACTATAAATATCAAAGCTCATAACCAATATTTAATTTGCAGATTTTTACTTTCCTAAGGACTTTTGGTGGAACACTGCATTAATTATATGGCATAAATAGAGAGAAATCATACATCTACTGACATGTCTGAAATATAATTCTAGATTTTCTGACACAGTCTGGACAGTTTTCTTTATAGTTTGTTTATAATTATCTGTTTAATTATCAAGAATATCTTAATAATGATGGAGTGCCTGGGTAACTAAGAAGCATAAGAAAATATTTCATTGAAAAGGTGCCCTGCCTTTCCCAAAGAAGTCTTTAAAATTAAAAAAGTTTTTCAAAAAAAGACTCATCCCAAAGTCATTAAAATCAGATCAGTAGAAAAGGCATTCTCTGTTCTCAGAGAATGAGGAGTTTAAGAATGAACTGAATTCTCCTCTTGAACTTGACTTTGCTGTATTTGTTAACTTTCTAATAACTGTTTCATTTAGACCAAGGAGCCACCAGTCCCAGATGCTGGTTAATGCCAGACCTCGAAGTCCCATATTAATCCAAGAGTGTATTTCCAAATATTTTATTTTCTTTATTTGTCTCAAGCTCTGGTTTTATCCCGGGTAGGGCTTGTCCAATTCCAAGTCCAAACAAGAGCCTTTCAGTCTCAGAGTCTCTCGTCTCTACCCCACTATTTTTTGGCTGCTGGCCTCCTGCAGTGACCACGCTGCTTCTCTCTTTGTCACTCCCTGGATACCGCGTATCGGTGATATTTGCAGAGGAACACATTAAAAGGGAGGGCTCTATCTTTGGGGGTATCGTTAAAGGACAGTAACCCAGAATGAGAAAGTGTAGGTCTTAACATTCTGTGATCTGTCCCTATTGTAGAGTAATAAAATAAAAACTCAAATAGCACAAGACCCAAAGTCAGTGTTCTGGTCCCTTTCTTCCCAGTCATACAAAAGTCATTTGTGTTACCCCAATGTTGTCATAAATGCCAATCTGATTTTGTATCAAAGGAAAGGTAGGTATCTTAAACAGAGAGCAAAATGATCCAGAAGAACGGGACACACATTTCTAACCAGCCCATTATGCTTTGGAATATCAGCTAAATCACAGCCTGGTAACAGATTATGAGATCATTTTTGCTGAACTGACAAAAAATCTAAAACTACATCGCAGATGGGCTTCCAGTATTCTGTTAATTTTTAAAAATTCACAACAATCCCAGTAATTTGAATAGAAATAAGTAGGTTTCTTATTTAAAAAAATAAAATTTTTAAGGGAATATTGTTCTCTGAATCTGTGGAGATGGCTGTCATGTACAGATATTAATTTATCTTCTCTTTTCCTATTTAAGAAGGTATTGAGCTCTATACTCAGTTACTTCAGAACAGATACATGGCAAGGCAGAAAAAAGAAACCAGCCAGAAATGATGGTGAACATTTTCAAAGTATTTGAGCTCACAGGAGAATCTAGAAGATTTTTTGATGAAATCAAAATGTTATGGACATAAACTTGTGAATACAGAGGGAGAATTATCTCCACACTAGGAAAGCAAGCCTCTGACCTGAAGAGACAACACTAGAGAGACAGCTATGTACCAGGACAACCACACGAGCTCCTCTGAGCAGCTTACAAAAACTTCAGACAAAAATTTCCTGACTGTGGAACACAGGTTGATACATAGAGTCTTTGAGTGCTGTGCAGAACGAGCTTGTATTGTTACTCAGGTTCTCCAAAGAAACAAAACCAACAGAAGGAAAGTAAGTAGGTGATGAGAGAGAGAGAGAGAGAGAGAGAGAGAGAGAGAGAGAGAGAGGGAGAGAGATCTGAGTGTCAGTTAATCCAACAGATTTGGTACCGGAAGTTAGAAATTACAGTTTGGTGGTGGTGGTAGTGACATTGTTGTTGTTTGTTTTGGCCAAGTATGGAGCATCAGAGAAGAGATGATCTTGACAACACTGAGTGCCCTCTGTCGTAGACATGACAGGAGCAACTTACAGGAGCCAAGGACTAGGTCCAAGAGGGTATCAAACAGAAATGGACAGGCCAGAACTTTCCAAGTTTTAGCAGGAAAAAACACAGATCTAGGAAAATCCCTTGGTGCCCTGGCAACCATGATATCTTTCCTTCCACTCACCTATGTTGTACTAGTACATGAAATCGTGGCACAGGGATGTGAAGGAAGGGAATCTCAAATTGGCATAGCTCAGTGGTACATCACTTGTCTACTATGCATGAGACCCTGATTTAAAGCCCACCACACACACACACACACACACACACGCACACACACACACACACACACACACATATAGAGTCAAAATCGGAAGAAACTAAGCCTTCTACTTATTAAGGAGAATCAGTATCAGAATTATAAAATAAAGTAGAAAATAAAGCTTTATTTTTAAAACAGCACATCCTATGGACAAAAAGTGAAACCTAACATAATTGAATAGTATGATTAAAGTCAAAAATTTCACAAGTATTGAGAAGAAAATTGCTAGCCCTTAATTTTCTACTAAGCTACAATATGTTGCACAAGCAATAAAGAAATAGTCCCACCATTGCAAAGGTTGGAAAATAAACCAGCATTCCTAAAAAACTCATTTGAAGTGTTACTATTTGAAAAATGCCCAAAGAAAAGCTTAACAATTGGGAAGTTATTTTGCAAGAAGTCATATCCAAGAAGGTAAATCAATCAAATTTCAAATATGTTAATATAAATGGTAACACAGTTCAATATTAAAAAGAGAAAAATTGTCTCAAAATAAAGCACTTCAGATAAGAAAGATAGTTCAAAGATAATTGTTACTTTCAAATTACATGAACAAAGACAGGAAAAAAGAATGAAAAAAATTCTCAATTTTTGAATTTGCTTAAAAAAGAGTCAAATTTTTTGTTAAAGCATTTAATTATATAATATAAAGTCAAACATGTTTCTAAAAATATTACAACATATTTCAAAGAATAAGAAAGGGAAAAAATAGAAGATAGGGAGATAAATAGCAGAATGCTAGTATGAACAGTTACTCTAGCCATGCCACTTAAGATAATGAGGTAATGAGCTCACCTCTCTTAAAATACAAAACTCATTTACATTTTTAAAAATACTTCACTTACATGATATAATAAGTGACAGACCTAAAGTAAAAGATGGCTTTGAGCCATGCCATACTGTTCTCTCCTGAAACTCCAGTGGAGCGTCCATCAGTAGGAGACTGTTCCAAAGACTTCAGCCCACAGGACAGAGAATGTAGGAGAGGAAACAGCAACACAGCTTTGCAGCATGGAAAGAACAGGATTGAGTGGCCTTGGCCTAATTTGTCCTGCAGAAACTTCAAAAGTCCAGGAATTGATGCCCTCAGTTACCTCGGGATAAGAAGATAGGAGCTGAATAAAGGAAGGTTGGATGAGTTCTGTTGAGAGGGGTTGTTGTCTGG